ATCGTCACATGTATGCGTCACATGACTTTTCAAATACCTCCATTTTCACAGTCCACACTACAAAGTGAAAACGTCGTTTTCAAATCTATCCACTTGGGAAAGCATTTTTCAAAAAGCTCAGTTTTTGTAGGACAAAAAAAACCCGCTTTCTCCATGTGGGCGTAAGGCCAAACCGGAGAGAAATTAAAACGTATTAGTGGCCTAACTTTTATGTACAGATCTGCAATAAATGGTAGAAAGATGCATTAATGGATGGAATAAAGACAATCAAAAACATAGCATGCAGAAGAAACTGCAGGCAATATGTGAAAAAGTCAATAAAGAGTGTAGTCTCTGGAGTCTCTCTATCCTGCAGCAAAAAGAGCACATGTGTGCACAAGCTCACATACAGTGGAACAGTACACGCACATTACACAAATAATTTTCTCTCAAACAGTCTGCTTATTAATTTGCAGTGACTCCTTCCTAAACAAAATGATACATGCTTCAGTACTTTTGTGTTGCCAGAGTTTTTACTAACAGCTTGTTCTACCCAGGAAAAAAAACATCTGACTGACAAATACATCTACCAACCACAGCTTGTTTATTTTTTACATGTCGTTTAGGGGCTAGGCTGATCTGAAACAGACTTGATTACAGTAATAGACCAGTATCAGAAAAACAATTTAAAATAACATGTACCGATTATTTCACAGAGATAGAAATTGCTTTATATTTAGAAATACACTTTATAGAGTGCATCAAATAAGTATACTGTAATTTCAAAGATTTAAAGCTATTCATTTTTAATAATAAAAAAAACCCTGTGATTTAGCTCTTTCTGAAAAGCACTAATACTAACAGCTCGGTACACTCTCAAAAAATATGTAAAAATGTTACTTTCAGGGATACAACAGCGTGAGGCAGTACTTTAGTGAAAGTGACATGTGAAGGCCAAGTGTGGTAACCTATCCACATTAGTGCACACACATTAGGAGCAGTGAGTAGTGAACACACACTGCAAACCTGTGGACACACACACTCCCAGAGCAGTGGGCAGCCATATTTGCAGTGGCGCCTGGCGAGCGATTGGGGGTTGGGTGCCTTGCTCAAGGGCAACTCAGTAATTTCTTGCCGCCGGTATTGAGAATCGAAACCGAGACCTTCGGGTTACCAGTCTGACTCTCTCACCATTAGGCCACAACTTCCCCCTACCCCATTTAATGGGTAGATAAGGAGTCCCGTTAAAGGTACTTTCCAGGTGACAAGCTGTTGTTCCCCTAAAAGTGCCATTTTTGCACATGTTTTCTGACAGTGTGACTTTTTTCGGAAGAGCTTCATATGTGCTCTTACTGCCAGAAGTTACATAGCACCAGCCAGTCACATTAACACAGGCAAATTCGGCCAAATCTTGCCATTTTGTGGGCAATATGCATCAGACTGTCATTAAACAAATGGTGGGCGGTCCTTGGGTGTGCCATCTAAGGGTGAGACTAAGCCTTCAGTGCATGCGTACACACACATCCTTTTGCAGGTCTACCTCTAGCCCTATGGCCTATAGAGATGTTCTTAAAATGAACATGTTAACTTTATTTGGGGCTAAACATCAATATGTATTCTCTGGACAGTATTTGCATGAATGCATGCAACAGTCAGACAGCCCAGACTACAAAATATCTGTAGGGTGTTTTACTGACACATGGTGAACAGAGAGCAGAGCTGAAGGGGAGGCCAAGGAGAGAGTGCTGTCGCACTAAAGTTAAATAAATCGTGCTGTCTGCATAGAGGTTGTCAAGAGCTAGCCAAATATACCATTTAATCATTCAACATAATTAGAGAGAGCAAGACTTTTGTTTTTATCATAGACCCGAGAACGCTCCGGACAATTCCCAAGGTCTTATTAACATTCTCCTGTTTATTTCTAATAATATCACATAGCATAATTATAACTATTTGAGAAGCTGTAAATCAACCAACCACAAAACAACTTACCAGCCTCTCGCATCTTCGGCATGTATAGGATCAATTTAGGACGTCCTACCAGAAAAAGACCAAAGAAAATTACTCTGTTTAACATATAGTAACATAACTGGTTGGTTAAATACAATGAACGTGATTATATGGTCAACCTTCAGCCAATCTATCTGTATATTTCACTCACAGACCATAACTGTAATATAGGCAATATATAGGAAACAATCTGTAATATAGGCAATATATAGGAAACAATAAATTCTACAAGCAAGAGGCAATTCAATTATGAAGAAAATATACACTATGGTTCAGTAGTTTGGGGTCAGTAAGATCTTTTAATAAACGTATATTTTTATTCAGCAAGGTTGCATTAAATTGATCAAATGTGACAGCAAATAAATGCTGTCTTTTGAACTTTTTATTCATCAGGGAAAATAAATGTATCACGGATTCCACCAAAATAATAAGCAGCACACTGTTTTCAACATTGATAAGAATAAGACATCAACATTGATAATAATTAGGTTTCCTGGGCAGCAAAGCACCATATTTGAATGATTTCTGAAGGATCATGTCACTGGACACTGAAGACTGTAGCAATGATGCTAAAATTCCACTTTGCCGTCACAGGAATTATAAACTAAATTTAAAACTAATTTTAAATTGTAATAATATTTCACAATATTACTCTTTTTCCTGTACTTTTGATCGAGTAAATGCAGCCTTGGTGAGTATAAAGACTGTCAAAAACGTTGACAATTTTACCAATTCCAACCCCAAACTTGTGAATGGTACTGTAAATATACAAATGCAAAATGGCTTGCAGTGCATTCGTAAATGATACACATCTGAAACATACTGCTGAAACTTTTAATCGTGTCATGTATTTCCAACTGTAAATCTATTAATCTTAAATATAGAACATAATATTTACTGGACATCTGGAGGACTGGGCATTTAGAGGAGAGAGAGAAAAAGAAGAAAAATAGGAACATAGAACAGAGAGCTCAGAAACAAGAAGGTTGTTAAGTTTTTCAAGACCATAGCTACCATAGTGGATGTGCATAAAACAATAATCATCCTCCAGTGGAAATGAAGACACTTCCCCCAGACATAAGTAGACAGAGTGCAGTTGCATCATACTTATTATATAACTTTCTATATAACGCTGACTTTAAGATCAATGTTTTATAAACTGAATGAGATGGTAAGGAATCTGATCAATGGCAGTAAACTGAAAGACATTAATAAGCAAACACTGACATATAGAGAGGATGGAGCAACAACTTGTGTCTGGGAGGCATGTGGGGCTGGGCCTGGTAAGAGGGAGGGAATGAAGTAGTGAGGGAGGGATGAAAGGAGGCTGTGGGAGGAAAAAGGGAAAGAGAGAAACAGATGCAAGTAACTCAGCCCGGCAAACTACATGCACGCAGGAAGCCGGAGAAGATACAGGCTCTTTCTATAGATGATTGCAGAATACAGAGGGTGGTCAACTCAAAACCAAAGGAAAGGTAGGAAATTAGCCTCAATAATTTGGAGTCAGACATTGAGGTGAACATAATGATAAATATGATCTATTTTATTTTCATACTGAATAAGCAAGTATATTTTGATGATTTATGTATAGAAATAGGCTTATTACTTGTGTTAAGTACACAGATAGCCTAGATAGCGGTCTGTTTGTGTCTTTTGGAGATACGTGGAAGTGACCAGTGTGTGTACGAGCAGCATTAAATGAATGAATGTCCTTGTATGCAAATACAACCAAGGCCTCTCTCTGGTTGATTCGGTTATGGTTAAACAGGCAAGACAACACGCTGAATGCTTTAGGACAGCTGTAAACATTCAACATGGAGGGAGAGCTGAAAATTAGACATGTGGATGTAAGAAAAAGTAATATGATGGAGAAAGATCTCAGATAGATGCAATTTCATGCCTCACTGCTAACAGGATGCGACTAGCCAAACTTGTTAGGCGTGCTAGTATAATTCCAAATCAGTCAACATATAAATGTTACAAATAAACTAAAGACTATAAATATTATGTATGTGCTCATACACAACACACAAATATTCACAATGCAGTCTTTAGTCATGAGTGATGTCAGTCTCACAAAAAGATTCAGATCAGACACTGGTGATTTAACACTTCTTCTTCTCCTTCCGGCCATTATCTGCTCGAATCACAGCTCATTTTAGTTTGAATGGCACAGTCTCATTCATTAGAGCCTAAATTGTTGCTTACACATTCCTTAGGCTAAACTACAAACGGTGGTTTGAGTTCTTAGTGAAATTTTACAAGCATCCACCAACCGCTTCCTGTTTGAGTGGCGGAGTCTTCTAAAGAGTTTCATACTGGAAAATGGAGCCAAGTAAGCCGGTCCAATATTCATATTACTCTTATCTGCATTTCACTTATCATATCATGGTGTCATTGGATATATGAATATATTTATTCACATGATCTGTGTATGAGTTTCCAAAAAGGCCTAAGTAATGTTTGGCTGGTTAATGGTTGGGTTCTGGGTGTTGGTTTGCATTTAGTCTTGTTTAGGCTACTTTGTGTCATTTGGTTCATTCAATCCTGCTGGTCTATTGCGAAAACACAGATTCAGGTTTTCCGCTGGTATTGTGCCAAAAATAAACATGGTTTTAACTTAATATATTTTCCCTTTAAAAACAAAAAGATTATTCTTGCAAAAGCTACAGCAACCTTTTGATTAAAACTTATAATGTTTAATGTTGTTTTAAACATAAAGGTTCTTAATTGGTTCTTTGCAAGAACTTATAAAGGGCCTTGTTAATATGTAAAGAGAGTATTCCCAGTCTTTAAAGCATCAGTTCACATGTTCATAATCCTTAATATGTTAAATGAAGGTAAACAGATTTGGTTGGGTGTCGCTCTTATTAGAACCTTTATTTTTAGTGTAGACTTGATAACCACTTCTGTCCACCTCACAGGTCACATAGCCTAATAATGAATATTAAAAGACTAAAAAAAAAAACGCTGTCACTTCTAAGCTTGTTGTCTTTGCATGTGCTTTGCAGATGTCATGGCGGCCGACCTACCGGAGCTCCAAGTTTCGAAACGTCTATGGCAAAGTGGCGAACCGAGAGCACTGCTTCGAGGGCATCCCAATCACAAAGAACGTCCATGACAACCATTTCTGTGCGGTCAACGCCAAGTTCCTCGCCATAGTAACGGAGAGTGCGGGAGGAGGATCTTTCGTTGTGATCCCGGTCACTCAGGTAACCACCACAGACGCGCGTGCACAGCACTAGTGTTTTCTCTAGACAGTTTGTCTTATGGTTGCACTAAATTAATGACCGACACAATGTAGGGCGTCAGAGACTAGAACAATCAGCAGCATGAATGATGCTAACCTTTTTAAGAGGGTTATTTTGGTCACATAGGTGTCGGTATGGGTTCGTGTTTATAAGGGTTATAAGTCTTGTTAAATGGGCCATCCTAACATGGATTTTTGTTTTATTTTAATATGTTATATGAGGTTCGCCTTAATGTTAATACAGTTTTTACACAAACAAAAACAGATAATGCGCAAAAACCGTTATTAACAGTCAAAGCATATGAAATGAAATTGTTTAGGCCTAACATTAGCCTACTGGTTGCAATATGGCTGCTATCAGATTCAATTATACAGTTAGCTACCTGCTTCATCTTTCAACAAAAGTTTATTTACAAACTCTAATAATACACTGAGCTATAGTGTATTATATATAGCCTATAGGCCTATATATATTATAATTAATTAGGGTGATTTAATAAAAATAAGTATTTTGAACAAACAAATTAGATTATCACATTAAAGTAATACATGCTTTTTAATATTTTAATGTGCGTTATAGAGAGGATATCAGCACACTGTGAACATAATGGAAATTCCGGTGTTAAGAAATAATAGAAATTATTTAGAGCACTTGCTTCCAGACTGAAGTTCCAGTCAGAGCAAACATCAAACCCTTCATACAATATATTTATTTATTTATTTATTCCAGGTATTTATTTAAGTATTCCAGGCTGCAGGGCATATTCCTGGAAGAGTGCATTTTACTAATCTGAGTTGAGTAGTTAATGAACTGTGTTTAAAGAGTGCACACTCCTGAACCTTGATACAACAAGCTAATCATTTTACAGCAATTATGCATAAAATCTGTCTAAAACAGATACTATGAAGGAGTGCTAATGGATGCTTGTACAAATTCACATTTACATTAATTTGTGCAGAGAACATGAGCAGTGGTTACTGAACAATGGAAAAACATAGATGAGTCATCCCTTGCCCTGTTCTTATAAATGCACATGTGGTGCACGCTTAAAGGAACCCACAGGCCTCTCACTCTCTTTCTGTATAACAATTTAGTTGGCTCTGTTGTAATGCAGTATGCATTTTCTTATTGTGATTTAGGTTCCCATTGATTGCACCAATATATACAGGCCTTTTATGCAATCACCTACATGCTGTTCTGAACAAAATGATACCTTTCAACAGGGTTATATTCCTTCCAGAGAGTACAATAATTAGCTAAATGTTTTGTTATTGCCAGTAAGGTCATTGATGTAGTTTAACCCTCTGGGGTCCTTCATTTCAGGGTCACACTCAGGGTCTTCGGGACCAAATGGTCCGGAAGGGTTTGATTCATATTTATTAAAAGAAAATCATATATTTTTTTTTTTACTTGTTTTTTATAATTTTTTATAAATTTTTTCTTTTATTTTTTGGTGTTTTGAGAAAATTTTATGATTTATAATTAATATTTATGCAATAATTATGACCCATTTTTTCCCATTGAATATAATATAATTTTTTTATAAATATGTTTTTTTTTTTTTTTTTTTTAAAGCTGTATTTCATTTTAGAGTCAAGCCTAGGCCTCATGAAAACAATTTTTGAAATGAGATGGATGCCATCTGCTGGACACACTGAGCATTTTTATCACGCAATAGCACATTTTTACCACTAGTGGATTTACAGCTCTCTGTAGAAAGGGTTCAGAATTCTTGTGAGTTTTGCACATCTTTGACTATTTTTTTCAGGTTGTTGATTTTAAAATATAATAACAGATTCTCAAAGACTATTTTTGTCTTGTTTTTTGTTTGTTTGTTTGGTTTAAATGGTAATTTGAAGTGCCAGTTTTACTTTATAATACAGATTATTATAAATATATAATACAGTGTGTGTGTGTGTGTGTGTGTGTGTGTGTGTGTGTGTGTGTGTGTGTGTGTGTGTGTGTCTGTGTGTGTGTGTGTCTGTGTGTGTGTGTGTGTGTGTGTATGTGTGTGTGTCTGTTTTGCACTCTTGATGTTTTAGAGATTCACCCCTTCACTGTTGAGTCCTTTTTTCTGCATCCTGGCTGATTTGCAGATTGTATGCAAAAAAAAAAAAACTCTGACAATTTCCCATTCATTTCCTATGGGGGTCATTTTTGACCAAAGAGCAGAAGTGTGACGACCACTTAGCATGCTTGGATCATGACCTCAATATTTTTTGTTTGTTCACATATACCTAATACCATAAAAGTCACCTAGTTTCGTAACATTCCGATGAAGCTGTGATTTAAAAAAATTCAAAACATATTTATGTAATCTGAATTTATTAGTGTGTTTGTGTATAAAAGTGTGTGTGTGTGTGTGTGGATGTGTCTGTTTTGCACTCTTGATGTTTTATAGATTCACCCCTTCACTGTTGTGTGCTTTTTTTCTGGATCGTGGCTGATTTGTTGATTGTACGCACAAAACAACTCTGTATTGTCACATTTTTGTCAATTTCCCATTCATTTCCTATGGCGGGTCCATTTGGACCCGAAGACCCTGAGTGTGACCATTTTTTTTACAACCACTTAGACTATTCAAATCCTGTCCCCAATTTTTTTGGGTGTTCATATACCAAGTACCAACAAAGTCACCAAATTTCGGACCATTCCGATGAAGCTATGATTTTACACATTTTTTTATTTAAATTCTTCGGGTCCATTTGGTCCGAAGAACCCCAGAGGGTTAATCATTTGGAAGACCACAAAAGTTTGTTTTTGCATCTTTTAAGAGCAAGTTGCTATCTCCATCACCCTCTGAGCTTGAACCATGACTCCATAGACTATTCCATAGAGAAAGACTCCATAGTCTTTCCTTGTTGCTGAGAGGTTAATTAAAACTTGTGTGTTTTCCCGTATTGGTAGTGCAAAACTCGGCTGCTAGAACTACTAGACTAAACTCTCTACTAGAACCAGGATAAGTCTCTGCATTGGCTCCCTGTTAGGTTAGGGGTAGACTTTAAATTCTGATGCTTACTTGCAAGGCTTTACATGGGTTGGCACCTCAATACTTGACCAAACTTTTAATTCTCCAACGCGTGACCTTCGATCATCTGAAACTGGTCTTTTAACTGGTCTTTTAACTGTTGCTTTAACTCGCTTACGATTGATGGGAGATGGGCTTTTTCTTCAATAGCTCCAAAACTATGGAATTCTTTACCAATCGAGATAAGGCAAGCAAAATCTCTTAGCATTTTTTAATCTTACTTTAAAACTCGTTTTTTTTTTTTTTTTTTTTTTTTAGGGTAGCTTTTAATTGAATATTTGTATACATTTTTTATTGTGCATTTTTTTTATATGGTGTATTTTTGTTGTTTTATTTGTTTCTGTAAAGCGCTTTGAGATGTACAGTTAAAGGTGCTACGGAAAATTATTATTATTATATTATAGAACCATGAAGTCCTTCACCCAGTGGCTTGACATGCTCTAAATTAAAGCTTTCTGTTACCCTGTTTACAGGCCGACCAAAAGCCTGACTATAGTGATCAGAAAGCAGATGCTTTTCCTTTAATCTCTGGCTTTGATGCTGTAAAATGGACAAGCACTGGAAGCTGCTGATCACTGATATAACAGTAACGTGGACTACAACGATGTGGACATCAGTGTGCTCTGGCCGGAACAGAACAGCTTTATATGTCTGCTTCATAAGGAAGACGGGGTTTCTGAAGATTAATGAGATAGTTCACCAAAATATATATATATATATATATATATATATATATATATATACCGGTATATATATATATATATATATATATATATATTCTGTCATCATTTACTCACCCTCATGTCATTCCGAACCTGTACGACTTTCTTTCTTCTGCAAAGCAAGATTTTGAAGAATGTTGATAACCAAACAGTTTTGGTCACCATTGACTTCCATTATATAGTAAAAATATGTTCCACAGAAGAAAGTCATACAAGTTTGGAACAACATGAGGGTGAGTGAATAATGAAAGAATTTTTAGTTTAACTATCCCTTTAAGTTATTTTCTTTGTTTTGAAAAACCAAGTTGCTGAATCCTAAGGAGACAAAATTGCAAGTGAATTTAAATGTGCCTCCAAATTCCACCTTCACAGCAAGTGGCCAAACTGCAAGAATAGCACAAACAGAAAAAAATGACACACAGACTATTTATCATTGACATGACAATGAGAATTTTTGGCACAGAGCCTTTGATGTCCCATTCTTGCAGTCATCTCCTCTCTTTATTCTGTCTATTCTTCTGTTCCTCCTCTTGAGCGTATCCGGTCATGCTACATTGCCCAGTGGGCCTGCAGACCCTCGGTCATGCTCTCAGCCAACTTGGATAAACTATCAATAGCACTTTTGTGATGAACACTCAGTCACCCAGTTAAAGTGTCACGTAGAAGGCCAGCTTTGTGCTCTTCATGGGCTCATTCCAGTGTTTGTGACTCCAACTGGGCTTCCATACAGGCCTTTAAAAAGGCCCTCTGACTTCAGCATGTGTGTTTCTCTGGACACCACGTGGGGCTCTGTTTTCCCCAGCTTCTTCATCCTCCATCTCCCTTGCATCTCTTTCTCTCTCTGCCTAGCATTGACAGCTCCCAGCAAACTGTATTTTAATACTGTAATACTGTAATACTGAGAAGTTCACTGTCACTGAAATCTGGCATAGAGATAATAGAAATCACTGTGAAGCTATTTAATAAGTGATAATAGTTCAACCTCAGTTGCATGATAGGTCTAACTAATATACAAACATTTTTGCATTTAGCCAACTTTTATTCTTAAAGTAACAACTTTTGTATTTGTTGTAATTTGTGTATACAGTAGCTCATTCAATTTCTCTAATGCTTTTATTCAAACCAAGGCATTAGTCTGAATTAGTCTATTTTACAGGGACAACTGTCTGATTAAGGGGGATCAGCAATTCTCATAATACATCTGAGATATAGACACATGGGAAAAATATAATGGCAGAACATTGGCTTTTCAAATGGAATTCCTCATTTGACAAAGGAGCTTCAGTTGTGGAATGGAAACTGCATTCAGAAACCAAGATGAGATGGCCCAGGGAAAGAGAAAAAAGAGCATGAATAGAAGACTGTGGTATTCGCGATGATGTCATCATTAACTGTTTAACCATTTGGAAATGAAACCGTTCCTTTCCTTGACCTGCTAAGCTGCTGTTGACAGACACTTCTCTGAATGATAATGTGTGAGGTGGTGCTGGAATGGTTTGGGATGATATCAGAATTCTTATAATAATTGAGAACTCCCATCTAAAAGGCTCAAGCAGTCAGGAGCACACACACACACACACACACACACACACACACACACACACACACACACACACACACACACACACACACACACACACACACACACACACACACACACACACACACACACAAGAGGGAGTTGGGCCATCTGGCAACACAGATAGGAAACTGCCAACCATTTCAGACTACCAGCATGCCCAAAAGTGCTTTTAACTGGACCCACACCCATTTTAATAATGCCTCAGTTAACAGCTCAGAAAACTGAAATGCCCTTTGTTTAGAATTTTGTTCAGGAACCATGGAAAATGTTGGGCTTGGAAGAAGCAAAATAATTTTTAACAGTCTACACTTTAGAAAAGAGTAGCACTGGCCTGTCATTTCGACTTTCTGAGGATGTGGTAGTGTAATTCTACAGAAAAACTCCATACTCATCTTTCTCTCTCTGAATATCTACAACAGAATATTAATGTATTAGACTGCCAATCATCAGTTTGAAGTAATTCATTAATTAGTAAAAAATATCCTAATATTATGCATATTATGTGCAGGCAGGCTATCTTACATTCATGTTAGTTAAAAATGCTGATATTGTAAGTATTTTTTGTTTATACGATATAAACCTGCATTTAGAAAAATGTTGTCTCTGCCGCTTATATTCTAGTAAAGGTCTAGGGCAGCCAGATTAGTCAGACAGTGAGTCATTACTCAAGCGCTATTATATTTAGTATATTATGTATAAAGAATAACGGCAAACTTTAGCCCTGAAATGTGCATTCAGGAAGGTGTTTAATGTGGATCCGTGATTTTTTACAATAATAAAAATCTCATAATAGTATCATAATTGAACATGAACTTCTTTATAGCTGTAGTCTATACAGTAGACATTGATAGGAGCAGAAATGATTTTACAGCATACTCTATGGACTGTTTCATAATAATGTTATATTGACTCCATAATTAGATGTAGATACTAAATAGACACTAATGGAAGTGTGACTCAGCAGAGCCTTGTAACTTCTCTCCTAAGGATGTTAAATTTGTGCCCTATAAGACAACACCTTTTTTATTTTATTTGTGCTATTAGAGTTATGGCAGTCTAGAGGCACATCCACTGACATCATAATTAGTGTAATCACATGGCTGTTCCTCACGCATCATTGTGCTGCTCACAATAGAGGGTGTGGCTAAATATAATTATCTCCTTTTGTCTCTGACTCTAAGATCTCAGACAGCGACAGACTACTCAGTCTGATCTGCAGCCAACACATCTATCTCAACAAACACTCACTCCTACACACACACACACACACACACACACACACAAAAGAATAACAATAAACAGGAAGTGAAAAATAATGAATAATTAGAGATCGGAAACTGAGAAGCAAAGAAAAATAGGTGTAAAATGCAAAAGCATCTCTTTCAAAACTTTGTCCTGTGCATATATGAAAATGTCCCTCAGAGAAAATCATGCATAATCATGATTGTATATTAGATGTCATGATGTTTAAATGCAATTAAATTGTCATTATGCATACATTTAATGCAAGAGATCATTAAACTTGTCATATTGTACATTGATTACATTGATAATGTTAGTTTTGGTTAAGTCATACTTTATTCCATTTTTGTGCTGCTGTGCTGTTAATAACGCTCTGTTTGGCCATTTTTCATCGTAGTTCTAAAAATTTACGTTTTGGAATACAGGGTGCCCAACAATATGATTTAATAGTACATCTTTTATCACGAAAGTGCACAAATTTTTTTTTAATTTCTCACATTGTTATCATGATGTGAGAGGCAATGATGAGCTGTTTGAATAAGCGCAAGATCAGTCTGAGAGCTATATATAGTCTTGGAAAACACCTTGACAAATCAGAAATCCTCACATGCAGGAAAACATATGAACAACAAACTATAACCGATTGCTTTGGTCACAATAGTTAAAGGCTTTAGCATTTTATAATCGGCCATTTTCAGTGTTCTTATGAGTTTTGATCTCCTGTGGGAAATCAAGACATTTCCTCGCCCAAGAAAATTATATTTAAAAAACACCCCTCGAGCAATCGCTGTGCTAATTTAATGCCATAATCTAACACAGATTTCCATCATGCTAATCTAGTAGAATAGCACAGAGAGCACAGACATGAGCGTGTGACAGCCAGTCTGCTATGAGTTCATTTCTTACATATCCAACCAAGAAGCCAACATGCTGTTCTGTTCTTGACCAAGAATTCACATTCAAGTTTGCAAAATTTCTTCAACAATGAAATGACTTCTCTGATATCACATCCCTAACAGTACTATATCACTGCATTGCACTGAAGCCCTGACAGATGAAGATAAGCAGCCCACTCAGGGTGCACTCATGCATGACTTGAACTACAAATCCCAAAGGACCTCAGAAAGAGGTCAATGGACTAAAGTGGCATCAAACATTCATGACATCATGGGTGCTTCTCAATATCCCTCTCTCCTCCATCCTCCATCCTATGGCCCGGAAACCGATCGAGCTCAGCCATCTTGAAGAACATCTCAACTCTCTAATTGCACCGCTTGGAGGCGAGGATCGAGAAGGCTTCCTGAGGAGTCATGAGCGAGGATGCACAGGTGTATCCTTTGCGGAAGTGTTTTATCAACTAAACGTGACACGTATAAATTCTCCTCCCCCTTCACATTGGTCACAATCATTTTAATCTATACTTTACCTTAGCAGTTTATGTAAACCACACATCTCACATATTTCAACAGGGTATCTTGCTTTATTATTATTTATTACTAATAACCAAACTTCAACAACATAAGGGCAGATCCTTTGAGCGCTGCTGATGATGACGCTATGAAGTGACGCTCGAGTGATCAAGTACATTTACATTTTTTTCTTCATTTTTAGCGGACGCTTTTATCCAAAGCGACTTACAATTGCTAGATATGTCAGAGGTTGCACGCCTCTGGAGCAACTAGGGGTTAAGTGTCTTGCTCAGGGACACATTGGTGTCTCACAGTGGATTCAAACCCGGGTCTCTCACACCAAAGGCATGTGTCTTATCCACTGCGCCATCACCACCCCATTTCAAGTATTCCAATGTATAAAAAGACTTTCATTCGATTCCTCCGTCCTCATTTTCTTTCCTCGCAGCCTTCCCTCGCATCCTACAGGGGGTGGAGCTGAGACGCGAGGAAAGGAAGCGAGGATGCACAAATAAGAATTGAGAAGCACCCCATGACTACCATTCTGTCTACTACTGACTGTCTGACTGTAGTTATGTAGCTCCATACAGTGGACGTTTGTGTGTATTACAATGGATCTGTTTGAATGTTTTCAACTATCCATATGTCTTGCTATGTGTGTCCATACATTCTTTTATTTGTGTAAATAAAACCATCAGATCAGTAAGCTGTACTTTCCACCCGCAGTTTGGCCGTATCGACCCTCACTATCCAAAGGTCTGTGGTCACCAAGGCAAAGTGCTGGACATCAAATGGAATCCTTTCCATGACAACATAATCGCGTCTTGTTCAGAGGACTCTTCTGTAAGTAAAATCCTCATGATGGTCAAATTAGTCAGCATCATTTTAAAAAAAAAACTGTGGAAACCTCTGTGCAGTGAAAACTTGTTTCAGTTTATTTTTGTTGTCATTAATGGAAAACCATTTACTTTTCATGATGTGGATGGTGAAAGAGTTTTACGTTAACATGAAATATTACTGAAATATCAATATAACAGGACCAAATATATCACTTAAATAGAAGTTTTGTTTATATAGGGATATATTAGGAAAGAGATAAATATTTAAATGTCATTTCAATGTGATTTTGATTTACATAAATCATTTTAAGTGACCCTGTAAAATAAACAATAATTAATTTAAAAAAAAGAGAAATAATAATAGAAATTAAAATGGTTTGACATTCATTTAAAAAAAAATAAAAACACACAAAAAGATGCCAATAATGAAAATCATAACTGGGATAGAACAAGTGAACACATTATTGTTGTTGTTGTTATTATTATTCTTAGGGCTGTAGCGATACACTAATCTCACGATACGATACGATACACGATATTCGGCTGACGATACGATATATATCACGATATTCAGCCAACGATACGATTCGATATAATTCGATACACTTACATCATTTTCTGAAAGATTTAAAGGGGACAGAGTGATTTTGGTGACATCTTGTGAGTCTTCCATTTACTTGGATTGAATTAATTGAACTGAAAACTGAAAACATCATTTACACAATATATGTCTCTGACTGGGCAGAGAGTACAGCTTGCAAATGCTGGACAAAATGAATCAAATATGTGTAGAGAAAATTAGTTCTATTTATTGAAAGACAACAGTGCAAACTGTAGCTTATAAGCCTTTGTTAATTGCAATACTGCACTTTATTTACTTTTCAATGGAGAGTTAAAAGGTGCAGCAAGTGGCCTGTTGTGAACAGTTTCTTTGCACTGCCTTTTCTTTGACAGCTTTTTTAGCTTGACACTGAACATGTGACGTGCTTCAGTTGTGCGCGGGGTCAAGCCGTCGCACGTCAGGGAAACTCTCTCCGCGCTGGCCAGGGAGGCTTTGACGTGTGCTCTTGCCTGAGTGTACAGCCTGGGAATGCAAACCTTGATGAGGTGTTCGCGGGTTGGAATAGGATAGCGGGGCTCCATCGCGTTCACCATGCGCCTAAAGCCGGCGTTTTCCACCACCGAATACGATTTTTTTTACATTTTTTTTTTTTTTACTAAGCCTATTTAAAATCGTATTTGATTGCAGAGCGCCGCAGCGCATTCACGCAGCACTACCTCGCTCTCGCGCTCTCTCTCTCTCTCTCTCTCTCTCACACACACACACACACACTCATCCGTACCTCGCGCACTTTCTCACTCACGGAACACCGCTGCACAAATCTGTCCAACACAGCGCTGTCAATTTCGGAGACCCAGCTTTAAAAAAAGCTACTAGCCAGCATGCAAGGAGCCTAGCCAACAAGGAGAGCTAAGTTGTTGTTTGAATACAGCTGGATTTTCGTCAATATCGATGCACGCGCGCAGCTGGCCACTAGCGGCTGGCTGACCAAATCACTCTTCATGCAACGCGAACGGGTTTAACACGGGGGATTTGAATGGGACTTATGTATCGATACTCGCGGCCTAAAAATCGATACTTTCTTGGGAGAAAAAATATCGATTTATATCGCAGAATCGATAAAATCGCTCAGCCCTATTCTAGATAGCTCTGATTGGATTATGATTGGTAAATCCAGTTATTTTAATGCTTCCGTGTTTGTTATACATTGTATTTGTCCTATGAGACTGATTTAACCATTTATGAAGTTATATAATTATAACTAACCTGACATTAGATTCCTAAACCTTCTTGATATAGTTGATTTAAAAGTGATTCTTGTGTCTGTGAATGTGTCAGGTACGAATATGGGAGATTCCTGATGAAGGACTGAGAAGGAATTTGACAGAGCCTGTATTAGAACTGTATGGTCACAGCAGACGCGTGGGCCTCATAGAGTGGCACCCAACCACTAGTGGGATTCTCTTCAGTGCTGGCTATGACTACAAGGTAATAAAATCTTTTGCAACCGAATTTGACAGTCTCAAATTCAATAATATGAGCTATAAAGTTAAAACATGGACAGTGTGGACAGTTGGATTTATGTGAAAACTTGTCCACAGTATGAACATGAGAGTGCCATACTGCCACTCACAGAAATAAAACCATCAAAAGACTGTATCTGAGGTATGACTAATGTGTTGTTGGTATTTTTGTCTCTCTGTAGATCCTGATTTGGAATCTGGAGATTGGGGAGCCGGTGAAAATGATTGATTGCCACACAGACGTGGTCCTCTGTATGTCATTTAACACAGAGGGGAGTCTGCTGGCCACCAGCTGCAAGGACAAGAAGCTCCGCGTCATTGAGCCCCGCTCTGGCAAAGTGCTACAGGTGCGGAATTGCTTTTTTACTGTATAAATGTAGCCTTGTTGAGCATAAGAGACTTCTGTTAGAAACATTAAAACATCTTACCAACCCCAAAATATTTGAACCGTATTTTTTTTTTTATATAACCATACACACGACACGGAACTTATTTTATTATATGTTCTAAAATATTTTATTTTTCACTGACATCCAGAGGAAAAATATCTATCATCACCGTGAATTTTTCATGCACCCTTATTTTGTAAATGCACTAATGAGAAAATTGTCTGCAGAACTGAAATTTTCACGTGTTTTTGTTTTATATTGTCAAGCAGGAGGCAAACTTTAAAAACCACAAAGTGAACCGTGTTGTGTTCCTAGGCAACATGAAACGACTCCTAACGACAGGTGTGTCTCGCTGGAACACACGCCAGATTGCTCTCTGGGACCAGGTGAGGACAACCTATGTGTGTGGGTCAGGTTTTGACCTGATCACTCCCGACAAGGGCTGTTAAACTTGAGATCACGTGGGACCAATCAAGGAGGAAAATAAAATAAAAATTTAATAAGCAGAAAATATTATCTTATTTAAAATATAAATGCTAAAATGTGTCAGTGAGGGTCAGGTAGGTATAGTTTTTGGTGTTGGAAAATACTACAGTATTTAATATAGTATAAAGACAAATGAAGTCAAGTCCCCACAATGGGAGAAAAACAAGTGGGCATGTGTGTGTGTTCATGTACAAAACTCATCCAGAAATACACATTGTCCCTGATGTCTGCATTACCCTGAAGATTAAGATCGCTGAAAGTCATTGTGTTCTTCTCAGCATCTTCCCTGTAATTATTGTGTGAGAATCACATTAATTGTTCTGTGTAAGTGTAGCTAAACAGCTACACTCAACTGCAGTGGAGAGAGAATATGGGTAAAGAAGCTGGTTGCTTTGCTCTTCATACATTGTTAGGGTTCTGAGAAAGTACTGTATCTCAACATTAATTTGTTAAAATCTGCAAATCTGGGTTCAAAGTTATTTCCTCTCATACTGCACTGTCTCTCATGACAGGAGGATCTGTCCATGCCGATCATTGAAGAGGAGATTGACGGCCTGTCAGGACTGCTTTTTCCATTCTATGATGCAGACACACATATGCTCTACTTAGCAGGCAAGGTACACATTACTCCATAATAATAAGGATTCTTACATACTTGTAATGCTTGTAAATATCCACTTCGTTCACAAGTTTGGCAACCGTACTTTTTTTTCAAGAAGGATGCATTTAATTAGCCTGGGAAAACCCAGACAACTTCCGGCAAATTTAGATTTGCTCTGAAAGTTAGTCTGGCAAAGAGCTCATTCAAGCCCATTTCCAATCCGTCGAAATCGAGGCACCAATCAGAAACGTTGGGGCGGGCTTTACACGATGACGACAGCGCTGGGATTTTGAAGCAGATTTTGTAGCCTACATTACAAAGATGGATGCCGCCGTCGAACATCACTCGTTCGAATCAGCTATTGCGTCTGTTTTAAGCGATTTGAACGTTTCCTTTTTGTTAAAAACCGAGCAAAGAACAACACTCGGAGATGTTTCTGCCGCTCTGCATACGTCATCTCCTTCATCGCTCTGATTGGTTTTAGGTCTATCCGCGACGTCCGTTGGTGACGCCCCTCTGGAAATGATTTGTCTATGACGCTTTGCCAGACCATAACTCAGTTACAACTGAGAATGGTCTGGTTTTAACCAGGCTAAAATTTAATAGTAAAAAAAAAGACATTTATAATGTTACAAAAGATTTCCATTTCAAATAAATGCTGTTTGTTTGAACTTTCTGTCCAGGAAGGAATCTTGAAAAAACACAATTTCTAACAAAGATATTAAGCTAAACAAGCATTTTCAACAGTGATAAGATTTTTTTCTTGAGCACCAAATCAGCATATTGATTTTTGAAGGATCATGTGACACTGAAGACTGGATTAATGACTGCTGAAAATTCAGCTTTGCCATCACATTACATTACTTTTTTTTTTTTTTTTTTTTTTTTTTTTTTATAATAACAGTAATTGTCTTTGAACTGACTAAGATGGTGTAATTGTAGGGTGATGGGAACATCCGGTACTATGAGATCACACTGGAGAAGCCCTACCTGCAGTATCTCATGGAGTTCAGGTCCCCTGCACCACAGAAAGGCCTCGGTAAAACTCAAATTCTCACCATTCAATGATCACACTATACCAGCAACCTTTGTAAAATGGAGTAAAAAACTTTCAAAATTAACCATAGAATGCAATAAATAAACGAACAAACAGTAATAAAACCCCAAAACACTTTAAATTTATAAAGGAGGTCAAAATTACCCATATTGGATTCGGGGTTTTTATTCCATAGAAAGGTTTTATCTCAGTTTTCAATGTAATCATTTAAGATTTTGTTTATAAATGTTTAAATATTTTAATTATGATCATTTATTCACTTCAAAATATATTAAAAAAAATTATGTATACATATGATATAGCTTTTATGAGCAATGTAAGCAATATCAAGTAATTAATTTATTTTTATTGACAAAAATAATCAGAATCACACCCTATCTTTATGCAGTCTAGGGTTAAAAAGTGGATAGCACTTTTATTTAATCAGTAGTTTCTCCTCTAATAAACCAGATATTCTATTGTGTTATGATCTCTTCCATATCAAGACAAAACCAACAAATAAGCATGCCAATGACTAGTGTCTAATGTTCAACTTCTCATGTGTGTTCTGATAGGAGTGATGCCGAAGCATGGACTAGACGTAGGAGCGTGTGAAGTCTTCAGGTTTTATAAGTTGGTGACTCTAAAGGGCCTGATTGAGCCAATCTCTATGATCGTACCTAGGAGGGTGAGCATAAGCACTATAAAGATATTAGTTCCCAGTTCACGGTTCCCAATTAAATGAATCATTGAGGGTTCCACTGAAGGATGAGAGAAATTTGTGCTAGACAGTAGACACATCCCTTGTATGAGGTCTCAGGTAATAGTTGTGTAAACTGCCTTTTTCTTTTTTAAGCAAGCCATTTGACAGGATGGAGGAATCCATCACCTTTCTGTTGCTGGTGTAACTGCCACCTCAGTGAGATGAGAGTAGTGAGCCGTGTAATAACCTCAATGTGAGACACAGCATGTGTGTTTTTGTGCTCTGTACAGAATGGGCAGTGGCGGGTTGGCCCATTATTGTTAAGGCTTCACAAACAGTGGGAACGACAGCATCCACTCAACCCCACAATTTTAAAAATCCACACGCTGCCAAATAAATCCAGTGCCAGCTTGTTTCAGTGCAAATGGTCCTGAAATCTATCAACCAACATCTATCATTCATGATATGGGAGAAATCAGTTGTTGCACCGCCAGCAGTTTAACCCTGGTGGCTACAAGAGGGGGGTTATAAAATCAATTTAACAATATGCAAATATATATACAGTAGTTCTCCTGCATTCCTTGTAACATGCAGTACATATGTTCAAGATTAGTTATACTTGCTAGTTTTATGAAACTATTCTATAAAGCTGCTTTGAAGTTATATTTCTTATGTGAAGTGTTATACAAATTAATTTGAAATTAAAAAGGATCTCACTGTTGGTTACAAATAGTATTGGGTAATATTTTATTATGAAATTTGTTCAAATTAATTATTTTTTTACTTTAGTAAAATGAATATATAGCTACTATATAATTAATATTAATTAAAAAAAATTGGAATCAACACATTTGCTATTTTATCACATAATATTTAGTCTGTATACCTTAGCTAAGGGGATCATCATATTTCAGAGTCCCAGGCATTAAAAGTGTTGAAAACCCCTGTTTTTACTCACACACAAAGCATTTGCTAATTATGTTTTATTTGTAGCAGAAACCTTAAAAAACAGCAAACCCACATAAACCTGTAAGAATAAGGCCATGCCTTATTCTTATACCTGCCAATAATTTTACTCAGATACTGAGTTTCCTTTTCATCCAAAGGTTTCATTCACAGTGCACTAAGTACACGTCCTGAAGCAACCTTAAAGGTGCCATAGGTGATTCTCTGCAGAAACATTTTTTGTTATGCTGGTTGAAAGTCTCCTCATATCCTGATAGCAAATACTCTGTTAAGCGGTATAAATGTATTTTTATAAATATATGTCGTCTGTGGAAGGCGTAGGACCATAAAATGTTCGTTCAATCGTTGCGTTCGGTCCGAAGGGTCCTAGCATGTGTTCCCTGTCGGTCAATGTGTGTTTGCATACCACTGCGCAGGCTGTTTGTCATCAGCGCGTTCACGTACGCTGTGCAGACAGAGCGAGAATGGCAGGCAAGCAGCGACAACCTAACTTTCCTTCTGAACTGACAACAAGTGGCACTGGCAAAGGATCTACGATCTATATATCTTCATCAGAGCCAAGCAGACTCTCATCGTGGAAACCCTGTCATTCAAGAAATATTATTACACACTGACAAGTTTTGCTAGCTAAACAAACCGAAAACTTGCTGCATAATGCTGGTTTTAAGAATTTGTTTACGTTTGGTATTGTAGTACTGTAAAGTTTTCTGACCGGTGAATGACACATGATGTATTGCAGTCTCCGGTCTTCTTGGCTGTGCGCGTTCATGCTTTTAGGAGGCGTGGCTTTAGACGGCGATTTGCAGGGAGGGTGGGACCAAGGGGGTAATCCATCAGCCGGAAACTGAAGCTACCCTGGGGGCCGCTATTGGCTAGCAAGCCTTCACCTGCTGTTAGCATTCCATTGACTCCCATTCATTTTGGCGTCACTTTGACAGCGAAAAACTTTACATCTGAGGCGTTTAAAGGTGCAGTGTGTATTTTTTAGCGACATCTAGCGGTTCGGTTGCGAGTTGCACTAAGGGCTCAGCCCACTGCTGCTCACCCCTCCCTTTCGAAGAAGCTATGGTGGCTAAAACGGGACAAACATATCGTCGTCTGAGACAGCAGAGAATAGCCAGAGTAAGCCAAGAGTGTGTAACATTGTCACTGTTTCTGTACCACAGTCCATTATAAACCACATCATGGATAAAGTTTACAAAGCCATAGTCAGCTGAGGATCAAGGGTCTTAATATATAATATAATAATAGTAATCAGCTGATTGTCTCACAAACGTGACCAGCACATTTCTCCCCACATAGCAAACCCATAATACAGCGAGGGAGAAGAACCACATGAAACTATGCAACTATATATTTTTTTCTAACAGGGTAGTAAAAGTTTAGCTGGCTAAATATGAGCTGTTACTGTGGCTGAGCTGGTTAATGCGTAAAGCCTTGTTTAAACTCGACGCGTCCGCATGAGCCCAAAGGTGCACGCGGCAAAAATGACATGATTGTAACAGAGCGCGCGCCTCCGCATCCCTAGACAGCATTTACAACACACAATAGGCTTTTTTTCTCTGATTTTGAAAACTCTTCGCGATCGACTTAAAATGCTTCCAAGATCGACTTGTCCACCACAATCGACGGGTTGGTGATTCCTGTAACATACTGTTTTACGGTCAATGACAAGAGTACTAATCAGCTGTCTCACGAACGTAACCAGCACATTTATCCCCACATAGCAAAGCCATAACACAGCGAGGGAGAAGAACTAAGTTACATGAAACAATCCAGCTACATATTTTACACCACTGACATGGGAAAAGTCACTACTCACGGTGTTTATGGCTAGCTTCTAGGTTTCTCTGCTTCTCTTTCAAGGTAGTGACGAAACGCGCTCTGTAGCGCTGTTTGTTCGCTGTCGGCTACTGTAGAAACATGACGTCACAATATGTCGACCTTCATAGAAGGGGGTGCCCGCGGTTATGTAGATATAAATGTCTCATCATTCTAAGGTAATAAAAACATTACGGTTTAATAAGTAAGTTCTTTATACACCACTGAAAACATAGTTATGGATGTCATATTGCATTTCTGTTAATAGATACTCAAAATTTTTACTGATTGCACCTTTAAAGACTCCATTTGTCCATTGTTTATTTCTAAAGAAACACAACAATGTATAAAAGGCTCCATTTCCTTGTATCTTACGTTGTGGCCCCGTAGAAGCAATTTTTGTAAAAATAGGCTAACGATTGCGTCATAACACGTGACTCTCTGTCGCACAGTAGAGAAATTACCGTATAGACAGAAGTAGAAGCTCGCGCGCAATCGGGGGGACGTGGAGGCATAAAGTCAAGGGAGAAGCCCATAGAGAGTCATAAATTTGATCCTGCTGCTAGCTCATGGACAGCTCCTACTCACGCTCTCAGTCTCTGCAAGATTCGAAAGGGAATGATTCAGATTTCTCTTGGCACAGCTACTAGAAGACGTACAACTGTCAGACAGGTTGCTCACGTCACAACTACGTCGTCAAGCTCAGTTTGAGCCTGCGCAGTACGCTCAGCCATCAGGAAGTGAGTGCTTCTAATTGACTTCACTTTTCTCCATTGAAGTCTATGGTGTCGCTGTGTCCATTTCTTTTACTGTCTATGGGTGGGACGTACGCTTTTAGTGCTATCAGGCTAAAGTTAGCATTTTCCCTGATGTCCTACAGCACCTTTAAGTGCTGTGCACAATGAACACAGTGGCAATAGTGTGCTTTCTGTGACACTCTGGAGTCCAAGTAGTTGTTTAGACTGAACATTTACCTGTCCAGAGCCTTGTTATTATCACCTAATGCTAATAGTGTAAAAACAGTACATGAACACCCTGTTTCTTTTCAGTCTGAAACCTATCAGGAGGACATATATCCCATGACTCCCGGGGCAGAACCTGCTCTGTCTGCTGATGAGTGGCTCAGTGGAATCAACCGAGGTAAAGACCTGCAGTTATCTTCAGAATAAAAATATTTGAAAAGACAAAGGTTGAAATTAAGCTAATCCATGTATGCATGTACACATCTAGGTCCGGTGCTTATGTCCTTAAAAGAGGGCTACAACAGACCCAACAAGCTGGTGTTCAAGGCCCCAGTGAAGGAGAAGAAGGGTGGAGTGGTCAATGGGATTGACCTGCTAGAAAACGTGCCTCCCCGTACAGAGAATGAGGTGTTACCATGATTCTGTTAAGATTTATTATGGTTATTGAAAGGACAATTTAGCATATCTGTGTGTAACCCTTTGCGTTGTGCTCTGCAGCTCTTGCGGATGTTCTTCAGGCAGCAGGAAGAGTTGCGCCGACTGAAGGATGAACTTGCGCAGAAGGACATTAAGATCAGACAGCTTGAGCTGGAGCTCAATAACTTAAGGAACAGCCCAAACATCAACAACAATAACAACAGCAACAGCAGCAATGGTAGCAGCATTTGACGTGGGATCTGTGCTGTTTCTGTTGATCTCTAGCTATAAGCCCCCAGCGCTGCTAAAACACACGGGCTTCCTTTTTCCTAACACTCAAATATCCTTCCTTCAAGACCACTGGAGACCAAGCGCTTGTCTTCATAAAGCAGTGTTTCACTCTGACCCTCAGTGTTGACCCCACAGCTGCAGTGTGCTAAGTCGACTTTTTTGGACTGATGATTCACTTACCCTGTGAAAAGTCTCCCATCTTCAGTCACACTGCCAGTCTACCTGCAGTGGATTGATTCTCCTTATATGGACTGATTTTGGTACAAGCTATTCATTGCATTATCATCTCATAATTGTAGACTTTAAATATTAGAATTATTTATTTCATTTATTTTTTCCTTTGTGCTATAGCCCTTGTTTTAAACCGCTTAATAAGTCCATATAGAGATAAAAACAAAAGGTGTTTTAATAAGGTCAAACAGACATGCTTCACCCATCAAGCTGTTATCTCATGTAAACAACACTAGTTCTATTGCATCATTAGGATATGACCCACAGTGCTGTTTTAATGTAGAAACTCAAGCACCACAGTCCAGTAATCTTACAACAAATGACTTTTACCCAATTGACATGCTCCTGAGTCCTGAAGTTTCGAGTTTGTATTAATATGAGTTGGGGACTCTTGTTTCTTCACATAATTTAGATCCTCCTCACATTGTGCAGTGTGAAATATGCCCAAGTCAGTCTATATGAGCAATATAGCTTATATAATTCAAATGGGTTTTTTCATAAACTTTTGCAATATACTGATGGAAAAAAATCCACTAATTTTAAAATCCAATCATGAAATAAATTAGCAATAGATGTAGTATTAGAGACCTACACTGTAGTTCCATAGGAAGGTTCAAAGAAAGACAAAAATTGTTACCTTTTTTTGAGTCAGTAAGCTGAAGGTAATTGTTTATTTTAAAGACTGTCTGTGGTTTACAAAGCATAATGGAGCATTGTTTTTTATTATTATTAACATTTAAATTAAATCTATTCCATTTTCAGTTCTTACTTTTAAATTAAGTGTCTTGAGTTTCAGGTTTGTAGCTTGTAACAATGAATTTATCCTTTCCGTCCTGATATAATATTCAAAATGATGACATCTTACATAGCCTATTGCTTTATAGATTGGATGTAAATTTTTGTAAAATGCATTGTATTCGCTTTGAATTTTCAATAAGCGCTTTTAATTGTTTTATTGTAAAGTGGACAAATTCGCTGTGGGCAAATATTATGCGCCACAAAACACTACAGGTGCAGTCACGCTATTCAAAGCGCACTGCTCTGTAAAGGTTACCCTGCTATTATAATATATGAACACATTTATTTTGCCCAGAACAAACTGGAAAAGATCGTTTTTAAAAATTGAATGGCACACTTACTGGGCCACCCATGATCTGATCTGAAGTGTTAAATTCTTATCCTTGGTAAAACTGATGGATCACTTGATTAATGAAAGCTCTCAAACCTCGCTCGACCAGCCAGAAAGCAAAGTCGGTCCTCCTCTGTGAGTGTTTGACATTCTCTCGCTGTCGCTATTTAATTAAAACACTATAAACATCAAGCTTTTTTCAAATATTTTGCCTTATAAAACAAACAAGACAAACCCCAGCAGCAGCTCCTGCTTCATTATTGCATAGTAATAGAGCGTTTTGAGTGCATTTCAATTATTCTACCATTAGGGGGCAGTGAAGCCACATGTGTATGGATTGCACATATAGGCCTACACTTGCCATGAAGCAAACTCTACACTACACAGCATCCTGCTAACCCATTAAAGAGCAGTTCAAACACAGACAGTAGTTCTTAGTTAATATCCTAGCCTGCAGTTCAGACACACAATAGTCCTGAGATAATATCCTAGCATGTGGTATAAGTAGAAATATTAGGCTACCTAAATGGGCCTAAACAAAAAGTGAGGAATATGGTGTTTATGTGGCCTGTACATTCCCAATCTCATGCCTTACAATACACTGTGTATCCTTTTGGATGTTAAGGTGAAGTGGGTAATAATTTAGATGTTTACATTGCGAGGTGCCAGAATATTAATGTTGTAGGCCTAACTTGGGCCCCTTAATTTCGGTGTCAGACAAGATGCTCACTGCCTAGACAAGCACAATTAATTTTGAAATATAATGCCTGAAGAATTATGAGGCAAGACATTAGGCTAACCTTTGTCTTTGATTAAAATGAGGAACATTAATAGGTAATCACTACTCTGTATTTCACCATTCATTATGATTAGCTGACTAACTACAGCATGTTGCACCAAGGGTAATTACATTCAAAGTAAAAACCCCTTCCTGAGCATTAATATGCATAAAATACAACTGTCCAGACTATAGCTTAATTTACCTGACAATCTTGAACAAAAATATGAACATGTAAGATCTGTTACATGTCCCCACAGATTGACACCCCTTAGTTACACTGTATGCAATGCTTTCATTTTCATGTTAACAAAAATATTCATTTGAACAAAAATGCTGACTTTTATTCATGTGACATCTGAAGTCTTCTTTTTAATAAAAATTTCAATCAGTATGATCTGACAACTGGATACAGCTGTTAAAATTGCATATGCTTTCTATTTAAATAATTGGCATGACGCTTCTGAATATTTACACAATATCCAGTTACGCATCAAAAATATACAAGCTATTTTCCCTGAGCTTCACAATGCAATTTCACTTCATATATTCAATTAATCCGAAATATTCAGTGGTGAGATGATATACACTAGCCATTTCTGCACCAGACTCAAAAACAATCTATTGATCATGTAATCACAACTAATTACAATATATGGATTTTCTGTGGCAGACAGAACAGATTTCAAATTACCATAGAACCACTTGCATTTTCATTCATTTTATTACAGTTAATGGTTACAACTTAGATTATTTGTGAAAATGTCTGCCATTATCAAAGGGAATCAGAAAAAAAATATATTTGGTCATTATTTACAAAGAACACGAAACCTCTGAACTATCCACACAAAAGGGAGAAGGGGTTTAGGACTCATTTGACAAGGGCAGACATTCAGCTCTGAACATTAAAAAATAAAATAAAAATCACATTGAGAGGTTGAACTGTGCCTGTCCAAGCATACATCATGATGTGTTCTTCATGCCTAAACAGCACGTCACGTGGTGGTGGGGAAAAAATAAAAATAAAATAAAAATACACAAATAAAAAAGATGCAATAAAAAAGTGGGTTAGAAAATGTTCTTCCTTGAAATCCAGTAGTCAACTTTAAAATAGAGTCAGCCATGCACTTCTAAAAGGTTTTTGGTTGTTTTTTTTTGTTTTTTTTTAATACATAAGTCATCACCAGCATTTAGGCATCAACAGTAAAGACAGGGAAAAAATTACAAGAGTATACTGGTCTGTTTTCCAACAATAATAAATTTCCACACTGTGTTGTCAGCCATTTGAAGAGCTTTTGGAGAAAATGAAGGGAATCAAACTGAAAGTACAAACCAAACCAAAAGAAAACAACAACAACATCAACAACAAAAAAGCTAAAAACAAATATTTAAACTGTGTCCTTGTTTATACTAGCCCCACCCCCTACCATTTGAATACCTCCCCAAACCATCGAAGAGTGACAATAGGACAGATATACAGGGGTTAAACGGTCAGATCACAATGGGGGGGGGGGGAGTCCATGTTCAGTCCTCATCTTCCTCCCCTTCCTCATCCAGTTCTCTTTTCCTCTTCTGACCCCGTTCCTCCTCTGTAAACACAACAGGGGGAGGGGACCAGAAGTTTTGTTTACTCTTATTCTCACCCTGCTTATCAGCATTCAATTCACAGGTGGTAACACTTATTGTATTAACTGTAGTCTTAATCTATTCACTTACCAAAGTCTTCCTCATCATCTACCTCGCCGTCATTTAACTCCTCTTCCTCCTCTTCCTAAAAGTGAGAAAAAGGCACAAATTTATACCATGTTTGTATATTTCGATACAAAAAAGGAATCAACATTTTCTTCCAGCATTAACCTCTCCACTGATGTCCTCTTCTTCCTCCTCTTCTCCCTCTTCCTCATCATCCTCCTCCCCCTCTTCTTCATCTTCATCCCCTGGAGCTGCATCTTCATCATACTCCTCCTCTTCTCCCTCTGCAGACAAAATTAGGTCAATGACAAATGAATTCCTTAAACGCAATTTAAAAAAGTAAGCACCTTGAAGCACATTATCAGTCCAACTCTTCAGAAACATACCATCTTCATCATCCTCATCATCATCTAGGCCTTCAACATAAGCTTCAGCATCAGAGTCTGGTGCTTCTTTATCCTCCTTGTCATAGCCGTCGAGATATGTCAGCTGAGGGAGAAGCTTGAAAACATTTTCTCTGTAGTCATTCAGGTTTGTCACCTCACAGTTGAACAAGTCTAAACTTTTGAGGCTTTCCAATTTTTTCTGTTGGGAAAAGGACAGGGTCAAAACAATGACAATAATAACACAGTTTATATATATATATATAAATATATAAAAGCAAAATAGGATACGACTCCTATAACATGATTATAGCTTACCAGGGGTTCGATGGTGCTGAGGTCTTTAATTTTGTTGCCACTGAGGTTGAGATGGGTGAGGTTGGGACACTTCTCTGCCAGTACCTCCAGACCACCTGAGATTCTGTTATCGCTAAGCTCGAGCTGTGGAGAACATGATTCAGTGCCATATTAATAAGAATGGGGGGGGGGGTACATATATATATATATATATATATATATATATATATATATTATAAAAATATATATTTTTGATACTTCAAAAAAAAAAAAAAAAAAGTAGACACGAAACTGCCAATTACCTTTTTGAGTTTGTTAAGCTTAGGCAAATTGGCAACTGATGTCAAGCCTACGTTGATTGTGCTTAAAAATTCCAGTTCCTCAAACTCATCAGTGAGGCCCTCAATTTTACCCTCATTTGACCGACAGTTGTCAAGCACAAGCTCTTTCACCTGTTAAAGGGCATATGAGATGAA